TCGGCACCAGAACGGGAGTGGCGCTCACCTCTTGGCCGTCCACTTGTCCGCCGTCCATGTATTTGATGGCTTTGTCCGCGTCTTCGGGTTTGTCGAACTCGACGTAAGCGAAGCCACGGCTCAGATGCGGATGAATGCGATCGAAAGGCATTTCCACGTTTCGTACGGTTCCGTAAACGCTGAAGATCTCCATCACGTGATCTTTGGTGACATTTCTGGTGAGTCGCCCGACATGTATGCGCGTCGGCTTCGGAGTGGGAGACGGCTTACGGACCGCCCGTTTCGGTGACGCCGACCGTTGGCGGCGACGACGCGATGAGTCGCGCGATCGCGAAGAACTGCTCGAACGCGACGGAGACCGCGATCGAGAGTGAGAAGCGCTCGATCGCGAAGACCCAGAGCTCGACGACGAGCGCGAAGAGCCACTGGAACTGCTTCTGGAACCGCTTCTACTATATTTGGTGGACATAAATGAGACACCAATAAGAGTGACAATTGCCGGTTGGATGTCATGAGTGATCATTACCTGCGCGACGAACCACTGCTGGCACTGGAACTGCGTCTTCGGCTGTCTTTGTTGTCGTCCTTTGAATTCTTGGACTTATTCTTCGTTTGCGGAGACCTTTGAAGACAACAATGAAATGATTGATTGAACGCACGATTGAGTCAAACGATCGTTACTTACATTATCTCTGAATTCAATGACAATTAAAGCGAAAGTAGTGTTAGTTTTGTGACAATTAAGTCATTAAATCATTAATTGTTTTGATTTCTTAATTGAATGCAAAATATTTCAAAATGAAATCAAAATGTGTTCAAAAAACAGTGATTTTCTGTTTGTGTTCATAAATAACGTACTCTTTGTTTGAAATCATTTGACAAATCATTTATTCGCAAAATAATTGAGAAAAGTTTGTAAAGTTTTTTAGATTTAAAATATGCGATAAATTACTTAATTATTGATAATGAAAACGTGTTATCAATAAATAATTGAATGCATTGTAAATGTGATTTTATAAGAGATTAATATAAAATGTAATATAAGATCATATTTACAATAATGTATTCAATTGTTTTAATATTGATTAAATTCTTTACACAAATCATTTTTATGACAATCTTTTTAAATAATATTTTTTAAAAATTTACATACCACCAGAATTGCTGTTAACTTACTGTATGAGGTTAATTAATTATAATTATTGCAACCTTGTTTTTCATAAAATTAATCTTTTTATTTTATTTATACATAGTTTTATTATAACTTTTATAAACATTGAAAATTAGAATCAATTAATGAAATAATTATTTACATTGTTATGAATATATTAATAAGCAAAATATAAATACCGGTACTATAATTACAAAATATATTCTACTTCTATATAAAAAATGAAATTTACAATAATGTTTAACATTAATAATATCTGTACTGTGTGTCCAAAGTATTTTGTCTAAGGTTTATTATTTTTTCCTTGGACATTTCCACAGTGTATATAAACATATTAAGGAGTAAATCAAAGTCTTGAGTCTCTGATTAGGCCCGGAGTGTCAACAATATGTTTACGCCTATCGATAGCCTTTAAAATCTTACGTCTGGGACCGAGCGGTAAACCCAATGATATAAAGTCCTGTTCACTCAAAAGCATCAAAGCCTCCAAATCTATCTTTTCGGCCGCGAATAACGAGAAATAGTCTTTCAATCCGTGGGCGTAAAGGAAGAACAGAATAGGAATGGTTTTGGAGTTATCCACGTCTTCGTCGTCCTCTTCATCCCAAGCTATTCCTAAAGTCAACGCATTTCTGTGCGCAAGACTTCCAGCGCTTCCGATACTATCGGCATAACTCGCGGAACTCCTGTCACTCTCTTTCCTACCGCTGCTCTCATCGCTCATATGTTTGGAGAAAAGTGTTTCCGAAGTGAATCTTCCTCTGAAAGAAACTGATCCAAAGCCCGGCCTCACGAATATACTCGACTCAGGCGTTTCGGGTTTGCATTCAATCAATGTTTGCGAGTCTTCAAAGTTGTTCACAAGGAAATCGGGTTCACTAATAGTGCGGTACAGTTTGGCCAGCCTTTCATTGTTTCCCTCCCTCTCGCAAATTGTGTTCATATTTAGGTTAGAGTTTGAATTAATGCCTGTTTTATTGATTTGATTAGAAT